ATAGTAGGGATAGGAGGTATTGGGAAGACTGCTGTCGCCCAGCTGGTCTACAATGATGAAAATGTCAAACAACATTTCACTTGTAGAGTCTGGACATATGTTTCAGACATTTTTGATGAGAGCAAAGTTGCAAAATCAATCATTGTTGGGCTTCAGGGCCTAGATAAACAAGCAAACCTCAAGTTGGAGTCAGTTCCATTAGATGCTCTCTTAGATGAAATTCGCAAGTCCATAAAGGGAAAGAAGTACCTTCTTGTTCTAGATGATGTATGGACAGAAAAAGATAAAGACTTTGAAGGACTGAATGCTGCTTTTAAATGTGGTGCGCCAGGAAGTAGGATTTTGGCGACTACACGTAAGACTACTGTTGCAACAATTATGGGAAGTTCCCACGCCATTCAGTTAAATAATTTGAGCCAAGAGATATGTTGGTCTATCATTAGGAACGTAGCACTAAGAGAGAAGGACCAAAGGACTTGTGAGGAGTTCAAGCCAGTCGGGTTGAAAATTGCCGAAAAGTGCAAAGGTCTGCCGCTTGTGGCAAAGACTTTGGGAGGCCTCTTGCGGTTTAAAACTGGCATACAAGGGTGGGAGAATGTTCTGAATAGTGAGTTGTGGAGACTGGAAATGGTACATAAAGATGTTTTTGTTCCTCTGTTGTTGAGTTATTATGATCTGCCCTCACCAGTAAGACGGTGCTTTACATATTTAGCTTGTGCTCGTAAAGACACGCCTTTTGATGTTTCTGATGTGATTTCACACTGGATGGCACACGGTTACGTAGGCTTGGATGATGATGATTCACCATTAGAACTAAAAGGCTTTGAGTACTTTAAATGCTTAGAGGCTCGCTGTTTCTTCCAAGGTTTTGAGTATGGAAATAAATGTCTTGCATGTAAGATACATGATTTGGTGCATGACTTTGCTCTCTTTTTGACAAGGGGTGAGTTTATGGTATTGGAGGTCTCCAAAGGTAATACAAGTTCAACAATGAACGGAGAAAGAACGCTTCGACATTTGATTGTGATAATAGAAAAGGGTCTCCATTTTCCTGAATTCATTCCTAATGCAGAAAAATTGCGCAGTGTTGTGGCTCATGGTAATAATATTCGTGATGATTGTGCTGTAATCAGTGAAAAGGCCATGTGTAATTTGTTTAATCAAGCTAGACGCTTAAGGGCAGTGGTTATGGTTCGAATTGTTGCTTCAACTATTCCAGAGGAAATAGGAAACTTATTGCATTTGAGATACCTTAACTTGTCTTTTAACAGCAATCTTAAAAAGTTGCCAAAAGCACTCTTCAGATTGCACAATTTGCAACATTTATTTTTGTATCACTGTTATAAGCTTGAAAGACTGCCCGGTGAGATAGGAAATTCAGTCAACTTGAAGCTTCTTGAAACCAGAGGTTGCAACAAATTAGCTTGCTACCCAAAGGAAGTTGTGAGATTAACTCGACTTACACAATTATTGGGGCTCATTGTGAGAATTGATCGTGATGACCCTGAAGAGTTTA